TGAAGGGTGTAACCTGACTGACTGAGAGCAGTACTTCGCTTCGCCTCTGGTGCAGCCTGGCTCCGGGGACCGCAGCCTCGGGGTCGGGCGGGGCCGCGAGGGAGGTGGCGTCGTTGGGCCGCCCTCATCTGCTTCGATTCAAATCTCTGCCCGCCCTGATACACGTCCTCTTTCCACCGCCCCTGCTTGGAGCCTGACACCCGCTGGGCGTCTCACCACCTCGTTTCTCTCCTTTCAACTTTGCGGTGGGTATTACCATGTCATTACGGATAGCCAAGTGCTTTGTGCAGCTTTGTGTTAATTAGTAAGCGCTTTCATGCTTATCTTACAAACTTCTTCATTTTACAGAAGTAGGTGCTGGAAAGTGAAGGGGACTTTATGCAGTTTTTCTTTTCCTGTCTATCCTCCCCACCCTCCCCCCACCCGAGTGAGATCTTATGTGAGGCTCTTTGTGAGATTTGCTTCTCCCTGTTAACAGGGTCGCTATAGGTCAGAATCGATGCTCAGCAGTGGGTTTGGGTTTGGTCGGCCATCTGGCCTGTAGTAAATGCCTTCTGCAGTTTGATGGTTAGAGCTCTTTGGTCACCCCTTGTCCAGCATTGTTGAATGCCATCGAGTCAGATCCGACTCATAGCGACCCTGTCTAGGGTTTCCAAGGAGCAGCTGGTGAGCTTGAACCGTCAATCTTGCGGTTGGAACCCACCTTGCAGTCCAGTGCATTTACCCACACCAGAACTCCTTGTCCAGCATAGTCAGTTGGCAATCAACAAATATTTTCTGAGCACCTGCTGTTAGGCCTTATGGGTGCAAAAATTCCCAGGGCAGGACCAGAAACAATTGTTGGAACAATAGAATGGGCAGTGTAACCAAGTACCAGATTGTGGTTTTGGGTGTAACAGTTATTATCAGAGAAAGTTTCCTGAAGAAGGTGAGGCTGGACCAGGAGAGGTTTGAACACTGGATATTGGCCTCAATGGAATAGAAAGTACAGAGAAAGGATGTTGATAGGGTTAGATGGTGGGGAGCTGGGAAACCTGGCAAAGGCAGGCTGGCAGCACTGTTGGAGTTTCTGTCCAAAGATCAGGAAGCAAATGTCTGGGGCTTCCTTCCAGGCCTACTGATCTATATTACCACCATTTTGTGTCTTGATGACTTGCTTAAAAAGAATATCATAACAACCCAGTATGCCAAGTCATTATTGTGATATATCTACAGAGGCACGCAGCAAAGTTTCCTGTGACAGCAGGTTTTTTAGACACCATACCCTGACATTTGCTTGATTGATTTACTAGCTACCTTAGTCTTCTTTTACCTTAGAATCAGCAAAAAACCAGGACAAACCTTTTGGTAAATAGTCTGTTCAACTCAATCTGCTCAGTTCTAGTATCTTCAGGTTTTCTGATTTCTTACAGGATGACTTTAAAAGTCCCTTCCCTAGAGAGGCTTTTTCCCCACACCCCTATTGAGTAAATCTCCACAGTTCTTAGCTTTCTTATCACTGCACTCTGCTCATTTCCTGGATGGCATTTATTGCAATTTGAGAAGCCATGTTCGTTTCCTTGTTATTGTCTACCTTCTTTACTAGATTCAAAGTTTCATAATCTCTGGAAACATTTTGTTTTTAAATCAGTTTATAACCGGCATATATTATCCAAAAGGATTCCTAGTGTAGCACTGGACTGCAAAGTTGCTTTGAACCGCAAAGTCAGCAGTTCAAGCTCACCAGCTGCTCCTTGGAAACCCTATACAGGGTTGCTATGGGTCAGAACCAGCTTGAAGGTACTTAACAACAACATTATCCAAAAAACTAAAACCGTTGCCATCGAGTTGATTCTGACTCATAGCGACTCTATATAGGGTTTCCAAGGCAATAAATCTTTATGGGATCAGAAAGCCTCATTTTTCTCCCAAGGACAGGCTGAAAGAATTGAACTGCCAACCTTGCGATTAGAAATCCAGTGCTTATCCTACAGCACCATCAGAACTCCTTAGTACCTATTATGTTGTTATTAAGTGCTGTCGAGTTGGTCCTGGCTCACAGAGACCATGTATAGTTTCCAAGGAGACATTGGTGAGTTTAAACTTGCAGTTCAAACCAGACATGTGATCTAGTGCATTATTCCATAGCTCCACACCAATACTCTTACGTTGTTGTTGTTGTTAGTGCTGTTGCATCGGTTCCGACTCATAGCAACCCTGTATAGAGTTTCCAAGGAGCAGCTGGTAAGTTTGAACCACTGACCTTATGGTCGAGTATTTATCCTACAGCTCCATACCTGGACTCCTGTTACTGTACTTAGTCAATAGTTGGGTTTCTAATATTTTTTGAGTGCTTAAATGGTTCCATACGGTTCTAATTCTTTAATCATTCCTTAATGTTTAGAGATTCTTCTAAATGTTCTTAACTCCTTGTCTGTTGTTATTAAGTGCCGTTGAGTCGGTTCTGACTCACAGTGACCCTATATAGGGTTTCTGATGAGCGGCTGGTGAGTTTGAACCACCAACATTGCCGTTCAAACTGACTTGCAGTCCAGCGCTTTAACCCACAGCACCACACCAGGACTCCAACTCCTTGTCTAGAGTTATATGTATTGTGTACATAGTATGTTTCATTGTATAATTTACCTGTTAGATTTTATATTATACACTTGCTTCTAAACTATCATCTAAACGTATTTATTGCATTGGCCAGATCTGCTGTAAAATACTGCTTTAAAGTATTAAAACGCAAAGATGTCACTTTGACATTTCACCTAACCCAACCAATGGCATTTTCAGTCACCTCATATACATGCAAAAGCTGGAAAATAAGTGAGATTAAAGAATAAATGGTACCTTTGGATTTTGGTGTAGGTGAGTAATACTGGACTGCCAGAAGAACAAATCTCTCTTGGGAAATGTACAGCCAGAGTGCTCCTTAGAAGAGCGGATGGGGAGACTTTGTTTCATGTACTTTGGACATAGTGTCAGGAAGGACTAGTCCCTGGAAAAGGACATCATGCTTGGATGAGTAGAGTAGAGGTTCAATGTCAAAGAGGAAGCACCTCTACCAGATGGATTGGCATACTAATGGAACCAGTGGGCTCAGACATAGGAAAGACTTTGAGGATGGCACAGGACTGGGCATTGTCCCAACAGGACAGCTCCTAACAATGATAAGCTCTCTTAAACTGCCTCCTTCATCTTAAGGTCCTTTTTGCAGTGCAGTGAATTACTTCATATGGCTTTTCTCTCTGTGGTCTTTGCCACTCTCACCAAACAACTTCTTTCCTGATGGATCTAGGTAAGAGAAGGTGGGAAAAGATGCTGATAGGATTTAGTTAGAAGTGATTGTTAACAGTTAATTGTGATTGTAAAAACATGAAACTCTAATGTGGGTATAAAATAAACTGGTAGCAGGAATGGGGGATTTTCCTACCATTAAGAGAGTAGAGCCAGGAGTGGTCCTTTGGACCCTGCACATTGAACTGCCTTATCTAGTGTCAGAAAACAGGCTCCAGAGGATTGGGGCAGAGGAGCAGAAGCAGCAGAACCGAGAGGCAGAGCATGGGACAGTGAGGTGGACTTTCTGGCCCAAAAGCAAGTAAAGTCGAGGCTCGCTTGTGGAGTGGGATGCTTGCAGGCAGTTAATTAGGGAAACTAGCTTTGCTGTCCCAAGGAGTTAGAGCTGAGCGCCCTCAGGCTGAGGCTTATGGTGGAGTGGTGTGTCCTTTGGGCATTTACCAGTCATACTAAAGGAACTTTGTCACACTGTCTGAGCAGGGCAGAGGCCAGGCCAAGGGGCCAAGGACCAGAGAGAGGCCTGCCTATGGGCATGGCTGAGAAGAGGCTGTCCTGACTAGAAGAAGAGCCCTAAGCATTTCTGATCCTGACTTGTAACCTGTTAATTTCCTTAATAAACCCCATAATTTTAAGCGGCCATTGCAGTGGATTATTGAACCCAGCAAAAAAGTAGAGAGTGCCATGGAGGGATGTTGGTGTCAGAATTGGTTAGGAAGGCTGGAGGATGGGGCATATCTGACCTCAGCCTCACAGGAGTCGGCCATGGGTTGATGCTGCTGTTGGTTCTCCTCCTCCCACCTTGTGAAGTCTGAGGAAGTCAGATGCAGCCTCCATGTCCTTTTTAAAAATACTTTTATTGAGTTCCTTGATTGCTGTGCCCCTTTCCCTATAAATGTCTCATCTTAGATTCTTAGAACATCTTTAGACAATATGCTCTCTCAGGCGGAGCACTGGTGGTGCTCCAGGATAAGCACTGGAGAGAAACACAAGATTGGCAGTTCACGCCACCAGTCACTTCTTCAGACAAAGATAGGCTTTCTGCGCCCATAAAGGTGTTTAGCCTCAGAAGCACTATACCAGGTTGCTGTGAGTCAGAAGCGGCTCCACGGCACTTAATAACAACAAACATGCTGCTCTCTCAAATCACATTAAGATAGATCTGACATAAGCATAGCTTCTAAAACAGGACATACAATTATGTTGAGAAATGACATTTCAGGGCCTTATGTAATATACATCAACTTTTTATTCCTATGTAAAATTTGCCTGTGGTGGTGAACTACTTTCAAGCTTCATTTAATAGCTTAATCCTTAGTTGCCTCTGCATTTTTTTTTTTTAAAGAAAACTTTTTAATTGAAGTATGACACAGAAAACATCACAACACATAAGTTGTAATAAATGCAAGTATACAGGTTGGCATATTTTTAAAAGGTGAATACTCTGTGTATCTACCACTAAGATTTAGAACAACAACAAAAAAAAAATGTTGCCAGTAACCTAGAAACCTTCCTCAATGTCTCTCCATTAACCCCACTGATTTGGAAATACCACTTCTATTTAGAGCAGATAGGTGACTTCTTGTTGTTAAGTGCTGTCGAGTCAGTTCTGACCCCTAGTAACCCTGTATAGGTGACCCTGTATAGCTTTAGACCTGAGATTTGAACTTTTAAACTCAGGCTTATAAAATGTAACTGTATTTTTCTTTTTACAGACAATTTCAAAGATGTCTTCCAGAAGTCCCAAAGATTTAATTAAAAGTAAATGGGGAGCAAAGTCTAGTAACTCCAAATCAGAAACAGCATTAGAGAAATTTAAGGGAGAAATTGCAGCCTTAAAAACATCGGTGGATGGAGTCACAAATGGAAAAGGAAAGCTGACTGACAAAGACAGACACAGGCTTATAGAGGTAACTGGTCTTAGAACCCTTTCACTTGTAGTAATGCTCTTCTATAAAACTTGTCAATGTTTTCCTAAAGCTGCTTTCTTTTTCTTGCCATTATCTGTGTCCCATACAGTTCAGTCATTTTGGAAAACCTGACCTTGTCTTTGGATCTTAATTTCTACTTTGTACTTTGGTTTTACAACTTTCTTCTTTTTTTTTTTTTTTTTAATTTTTTTTTTCTACACTTTGTTGGCTTGTCTTTTTGGATCTCTTCCAATCAGTTGGCCAGGTAACTATTTTCCAAATTTCTTGGTGTAGATAAGTGAGTGTCTCTATTGCTGCATCTGTTTGTTTAAAGATTTCAATTCTATTCCATCAATTCATGGAGCCTTGTTCTTTGCAGATGCCTTCAGTGCACATTGGATTTCTTCTTCACTACCAATCAATGCCTCTTGATCAATCATAGGCTACCTGTTGTTTTTTTTTAAGTTTTTATTGTGAATTGAGTGATAGTTTACATGGGAGAACATCAGCTCTACATTCATCCTATCGTATTTCGTTTCATTGCAATAATTCCAGTCCCCTCCATGATCATCATTCAACAGCATTTGCTTCCATTCCCTCTGTTTTGTTGTTGTTGTTTGGATGCACACCGAAGCACTCAGGAATATATCACCATTCAAACAACCAAAGGGTACACCCCACAATCCTGCCCCTCAGTCATCAGCACACAGACCTTCTTCCTCCCTGAGTCCAGAGTTCCCAGCTGCTCCATCTCTCCATGTCATCACCTCTGCCTCCATATCTGGCATCACTACTCCTGTGGATAGGGTCCCGCACTCCAGTCTTCTGCCTTGATGGTCCCAGGGACCTCTGCTCCTGGACTGCAAGATCAACCATTCCTCTCCTTTTGTTACAAAACGTCTACCTTTACATTTGCAACACTCACAGTCAGTCCTGATAGCAATTATTCGTTATTGAACCACAAGAGTCTTATCCCCATCTCCTTTCACCAGCCCCATCCAGACAGGTTGGAAACCACTCATTGGAGAGTCTACCTTCCTCTACATCCTCTTGATCGCATCTCCCTCTTGAAAGCTTTTAAGCCAGTCACTTCTTGCCTTTATAGCCCCTCCTTTTTGAGTAGCCAATGTCTAAGTTGCCCATCCCTGTCAACCCTTGTACCAAGGTGGTGGGAATGATCCTCACTGTAAAGATTTGTTCCGTCTTTTGAGCTACTACATCCATAAGTGTAGGTCAAGTTCATAAAATTGTAGTGGATTACTCTTTATTTCCTCTTCTTTCTTCTTCTAGTCGAGTTCTGATAATCCAGCCATTGAAGTCAGGTCAAGTACTGCAACTTTCTTATATATTGTCTGTTGTTAAATGTCGTTGAGTCAGTTCCAACTCATGGTGACATAGGGTTTCCAAGGAGCGGCTGGTGGATTTGAACAGCTGACCTTGAGGTTAGCAGTCCAGTGTTTATCCTACAACATCACTCCAGGGATCTGAGATATTGTCTAGTCTTTATTAACTTCTCTCATTTTTTAAGTATAATTGAGTATGTGTTTTTAGGTCATTAGGTACCCAAGTTTGTTTTAGAAGTAGTTAAAGCATTCTGATGAATGGATCTACACCTTCAACATAGCACTATTGTTGTTGTTGTTGGATGTCAACAAGTCTATTACAACTCTGTTAACGGAGTAGAATTTCTGTAACCTTTACAGAAGCAGATTGCCACTTCTTCCTCCCTCAGTGCCTCTGGATGTGTTTGAACCACCAACTGTTCAGTTAGCAGCCAAGCACTGAACCACTTGTTCACTAGTGTAATTTATTGTAAATAACGATAAAAACAGCACTAGGATCTGTTTTTATCGTTATTTACAACAAAATCATAACCTAATATCATCATCCTATAGCTTTCTGGCAATTGGTTACATGAGTTTTCCTGATCATCTTTATACTATATTTAAGGTTGAAGAGCATTTTTTAAAACTTTTTGTTGTGAGTTGAGTGAAAGTTTACAGGGCAGCTCATCAGTTTTACATCCAACAAATCACACATTTTGTTTCATCTTAATGATTGCAGTTCCCTCCATGTAACAACAGTTATCCCACTTCCTGCTTGTGGTTTCTATTTCTAGTCCACCCGCCTTCCCATCCTTCTCAACTTTCTCCTGGGGTAATGGTTGACCATTTGATGATGAGCATACCTCACTAGTGTTGTTGTCGTCCATGTATAACTATTCAATATTTAGTTGAAAATTGGGCCATAAAAGTGAGTTCCATTCCAGACATGAAGGGTGACTGATGACCATTGTCTCAGGTTTCCCCAGTCTCTTTCAGACCAGTAAGACCAGTGTATTTTATAATTTGAGTTTTGTACCATACTATCTCCCACTCTATCCAGGACCTTCTAATGTGATCCCTTTCAAAATAGTTGGTAGTGGTAGCTAGGCATCATCTAGTTCTGCTCTCAGAGTCGTGGGGACCAATGTTCACGTGTTCCATTAGCCCTTTAGACGAATTTATTCCAGATGACTTCCATTCTCATCACTCCTCTTTCATCCGCACATGGAGAGACCAACAGCTGTACCGACCTTGCAGTTAACAGGTTTACCCACCAACTGCTCCGCAGGAGAAAGACGAGGATTTCTGCTCCCACCAAAGTTTACAAGTCTCGGAAACCCTACGTAGGGTTGCTATGAGCTGATGCAATGACAGTGGGTCATTGAGAATCGCTGCTGCTGTTAAGTTAGTTCTGGCTTCACAGTGACCCTGTTCCAGGGGACTTCAAAAGTTCATGGAAAAATGTAATTAAAAGATAATGAAAAATTTTCACAAACTTTTTGTAGCCTTCACATACAACATAACAAAACACTGTTGTTAAGTGCCATTGATTGGTTCCAACACTTAGCGACCATGTATAGGGTTTCCGAGGAGTGGCTAGCACGTTTGAACCACCGACCTTTCTGTTAACAGTCCAGTGTTTATCCTACATTGACACAGACCAAAAGCCTTGTTGTCGTTGTTGTTAGGTGCCATCGAGTCGGTACCGACTCATCGCACAGCAGAACGAAGCATTGCCTAATCCTGGGCCAACCTCACTATCATTGCCACTTTTGAGCCCATTGATGCTGCCACTTGGCCAGTCCATCTCGCTGGGGGTCTTCCTCTTTTTCTCTGACCCTCCACCCTACCAAACATGATATCCTTCTCTAGCAACTGGTCCATCCTGACAATATGTCTGAAGTATGAGAGACGAAGTTTGGCCATTCAGGCCTCCAGGGAGCACTCTGGCTGCACTTCTTCAAACACAGATCTGTTGGTTCTTTTGGCATCCCATGGCACTTTCAATATTCTCTTCCAACACCATAAATCAAAAGCATCAATTCTACGGTTTTCACTGTCCAGCTTTTGCATGCATATGATGAGGTTATTGAAAATACCATGGCTTAGGTCGCGCACCTTAGTCTTCAAGCTGACACTAAAAAGGTCTTGCGCAGCAGATTTGCCTAATGTAATATGTCATTTGATTTCTTGACTGCTGCTTCCATGAGTGTTGATAGTTGATCCAAGAAGAATGATGTCCTTGTCAACTTCACTCTTTTCTCCATTGATAAGAATTAAACTTGTTTATTGGTCCAGTGGTGGGGATTTTTGTTTTCTTGACATTGAGATGCAATCCATATGGAAGGCTGTGCTCTTTGATCTTCATCAGTAAATATTTTAAGTCCTCTTCACTTTCAACAAGCAAGGTTGTATCATCTGCGTATCACAGGTTGTTAATGAATCTTCTTCCAATCCTGATGTCATGTTTTTCTTCATAGAACCCAGTTTCTCGGATTATTTGCTCAGCATGCAGGTTGAATAAGTATGATGAAAGAATACAACCCTGTCATACACCTTTCTTAATTTTAAACCATCCAGTGTTCCCATATTCTGTTTGAACAACTGCCTCTTGGTCCATGTACAAATTGGGCTTTACTCCCACAGGCTTTACTCCATTCACGTCATCATGGTCAACTCCTCTTTGAGGAGGTAGCTCTTCCCTAGTCGCATTTTGAGTGCCTTCCAACCTGTGGGGCTCATTTTCTGGCACTATATCTGACAGTGTTTCTCCGCTGTTCATAAGGTTTTCCATGACTAAATGTTCAGAAGTAGTTCATCACTCCTTCTTCCTAGTCTGTTTTCGTCTGGAAGCTCATCTGAAACCTGTCCACCGTGGGTGACCCTGCTGGTATTTAAAATACTGGTGGCATAGCTTCCAGAATCACATCAACTCACAAGCCACCACAGTACGACAAACTGACAGACGAGTGGTGGAGGAATCTGATAGCTTCCCTAAAAGATATCTTTCTGGTTCATTCCATTTTTGGTGAGTATTGGTTGTGAAAACTTGGGTTCCTTATAATCAGTTGAAATTAAACTTTTTGTAACTTCTATCCATTTGCTTTAATTGTGCCAATTATTGTTAGAAAAAATAGGCCTATTTCTTAGCCACAATGACAGTGTATCAGATTTTTTAGGAAATACTTGAGTTCTCATACTTTTATACAAACAGCCACCATATTCTTCAGTTTTTCAGGCTTTTACATATATTCCTGGTCATGCTTCTGAACCTTTTGTGGTTTATCCATATCCCCCTGAAATGTGCACCCAGAATTGAAAGCTGTGCCACAAATGTGTTCTGGCAAACATGGATTGAAATAATGCTGTTACTTCCACTTACTTAGACAGTGTACTGTGTTGAAGTCTAAAATTATATTGGCTTTTTCAGCAACCATATCATACCATTGACTTATCTTAAGCTTGTGGCCGAAATCCCCTCTTAATTTCCACATGAGCAATCAAATTTTCCCCTTTTAAACTTGAACAACTTTCTTTTTCTCTGCTAAATGCACATTTTTAGCTGTATGTTGTTTGTACCTTGTTAGCCTGTCGTGTCATTCTGTTCACTGTCTCTGTCGTTTGCCTATCTACTCTTTAACCCTTTCAACAGCAGCGGTTCAACAAGCATGCTTTCTTTATCAATGTTGGACACTGTTAAAAGATTGCCTTCTAGACCAAATCATTAGTCACCATTAATCCGGTTAGTGAATGCATCTTTGAATGTACAGCTGTAACATTCTGTAGTTTTTCAGTCTGGCTCAAGGAGCTCTGGTAGCGTAGTGGTTACGAATTGGGCTGTGAACCGCAAGGTCAGCAGTTCGAAACTACCAGCTGTTCCGCGGAAGAATGATGAGGCTTTCTACTCCCATAAAGATTTACAGCCTTGGAAACCCTGTACAGGGTCACTGTGAGTCGGAACCAACTCCACGGCACATAACAACAACAACAAGTTCATTCATGAGCATCTATCACTTGCGCATATATCTCACGACTCACTTGAGCCTTTGACTTTATTAAGCGCAGTGTGGTGGAGCAATAGGGATCAGACATTCATGTGGCTGCCAGCTTTTCTTTAGTGTTCTCACCCTATCCTAGACAGAGTTGGTTTCTCCTTTCTCGGTGCCTGTGTCCCATTCATTTTCTATCTTAATTACAGTACTTAGCCTATTGTGTTAATTCATCTATAAGTTCCTGGTTTCATTTTCTAATTGATCCTTGTGCCTAGTATAACCCTGACTTGCTATGTAATGCTTTATAAATGCTTGTTAAAGAAAATTGTTTAGCTTGATATTGGACCTGGCTTTGTTCTAAGATGCTTCTTAGTTTATGTCTAGAAAATTAGGCTCTTAGAAGCTGAGAGGGAGAAGAATGCCTATCACCTCACAGAGAAGGATAAAGAAATACAGCGACTCAGAGACCAGCTGAAAACAAGATACAGTTCGACTGCATTGCTGGAGCAACTGGAAGAGAAAACAAAGGAAGGTGAAAGGAGGGAACAGCTGTTGAAATCTTTATCTGAAGAGACAGATATATTAAAAAAACAGTTGTCTGCTACCACGGCGAGACTTGCTGAACTTGAAAGCAAAGCCAGTACACTCCGGTTATCACAGGTACAAATAAGTTACCTTTCTTGCAACTTTGTATGAAAATAATATTTTTCAAATTTTATTTCCATAACCTAGTGTTTTGTCTGCTTTTAATGAAAATCAGCAGTCTCCTCTGGTGGTCTAGGGTACAGAAGATCTGAAATCTCAGGGTTTTCCAGTTCAAGGAGGTTTCTGATTATGGTCCTGTGGTACCCATGATGGTTCATCAACATATATGAGGGAGCTTCCGAAAGTTCATGGAAAAATTCCAGTATCTTTTAATTCCATTTCGACACAAACCTTTTGAAGCCCTGGTGGTACAGTGAGTTAAGCATTGAGGGAGCTACTAACCACAAGTTTGGAGGTTCAAACCTACTATCCACTCCAAGGGACCAAGTTGAGACTTTCTGTGCCTATAAAGATTTATAGCCCCGGAAGCCTTATATAGGGTAAATATGTGTTAGAATTAACTCAGTGACAGTAAGTTTGGCTTTTTTTATTCATACTAGATCTAGATTTTGGATGCTTCTGTAAGGTATTATGAACTAAGAATAATGTGAAAATACTGTTAAATTTGTGGTATTAACTATTATTGGTTTACTTATAGACTGTGGCTACAAGTTGCTTCAATTCATCTATGAGTAATATTCATGAAATGGAAATACAGCTGAAAGATGTAAGTTCATTTTCCTTTCGATAAGTTCTGGGTTAAGAGACGAGGGCTAATGCATTTGTTCTTAAATTTATGAAAATGGGCACCATTGGTGCTGTGACTTTCAAAAGCCTCCAGATGAGACAGGAGAACCAAGTGGATTGTCATCACCCCTTTAGGCTATTGCCTTGCTCTTCCTGGGCCCTCAGGAGGACTGTGGCCTCTTTTTAGGAGCCCTGGAGGTGTGTGGGATAAGCAGCGGGCTGCTAACCCCAAGGTTGGAGGTTTAAACCCACCAGTTGCTCCATGGGAGATGAGACTGTCCCTGTGAAGACTGAATATCTGTGAATCTCTGTACAAGGTCACTAGAAGTTGGAATTGGCTCCATGGCAGTGGGTTTGGTTTTTTTTAGTATGATCTCTTTGGGCTAGAAAACCTTAACATTATCCATTGCCTCCAAATGCCTCATCAATAGCTGTCCACTGCGTACATCTAATTTCCTTAACTGTTATATTATTATAATGTTACTTATTTCATAGCTTTTTTAAAGATGTCATCTCTTTTTGTTTATCCATGTAAGGTATATTCTTTAATTCGAAAGCCTTTTCTTGGAACTAGAATTTTTTTTCATAGCTTGGGAGAGAAATGTATTTGTATACTCAGTACTTAGTACTTCCTTTCTCTAGTAGTGTATGAAATGAAGTCATTTTAAATGTCTGGTAACACTGTTATAGCCTAAGTAAATGGATTGATGGTTTCCATTGGGA